AGGGTTGTGAAGGCTACATCAGACAAAGGGAAACCCCCAACAGCTACATTTATTGAGCACTTACTACTCACCCACAATATGATTCATGATTTGAAAAGCATTTGGCACAGGACCTAGCAGCTAATAAGTGCCCGATAAATTGGAGCCATCATATTCTTGTTGTCATTGTTGTTTTATTATTTTGATTTGGTTCCAGATCCAGGTGGGGCCCCGGCAGCAGACTCCGTGGCCGGCTCAGCACAGGCACACTGCCCTCTGGTGCTGTTGCCGGGGAATCAGCACCTGGAAGAAGGGCGGCTCCAGGAATCCAATGCATGGCCAGGGTGCCAGCCCCATCTGTGTCAGCTCCAATTCTGCACTGGGACCTTGGAGCACCCACCACCTGGAGCTGAAGCCCCACACACCAGTGTCAGGAGGACAAGCCAGGGTCTGTTAGGGGCTGGTCCCTGGGAAGGCTCTGCTCCTAGAATGTCAGTTCTCTCTGTTGCTGGGCAAGGCATGGGGAGCCCCGGCTCCTCCCTGCACTGCCCAGCGGAGGGAAGCACAGGCTCTCTCAGTTTCCTCCAAGGGTCCTTCGTGAGCGAGGTGGGGCCAGGCTGCAACTGCGGAAGGAAGAGGCAGGGGCAGCTGACTGTGGCGAGTGGAGAAGGCTCGATCTCAGCAGCCCAGAAACACAGTCCCAATCACTGGCCACAAACAGGTCTTTCCCCGAAAAGGCACCCTGTAAGGGACCCTGCAGCGTCCCTTGCATATGGGCTTGCACCTCCCCCAAGAGGAGGCGGAGTCCTACTGTCCTCCCCATGGAGGGAGCTCTATTTTCTGGAGCTGGGACATGTAGTGCTTGTGGAAACGTGGGGACTCAGGGAGGCTCACAGGCCCCACAAAGGATCCTAAAAGCAGCCAGACTGCTGGGGGGGGAGATGAAGAGCCAACCCACAAAGCCCTTTTTAAAATAGCACAGTGAGCAGGACTTCTGAAGTCATCCGTCCTGCCAGCTGCAGGGGGATGCAGTTTGCATAAACCACCTCTAAAAATCCCAGGTCATCCTGATGTCAAAAGACTGTTTAGTGTAACCCAAGGCAGGCGTCAAGAAGAAATTAAACTCCTGCTGGAGGAGGAGAGTTGGGCTGACAGGAGCAGCTGGGCTGAGAAGTGGAGGCAGAAATTCCTCGAGTTAATGCTTTCGAAGGCCCCTCGGGCCACTCCCAGGTCTTGTCTGAAGCTATTTACTTCCAGGGGGGAAAAACTATTGATCTTCATTCAGCTGCTGTCTGCTCCTACGAGGCAGCGATGTTTCAGCGCATCACCAGTCACTGCGAGAAATTTCTCATTGTTCCACACACAGCGGCTCCCAAACTCAAGAGACGACTGTTCGGGCAGATGTGGGTGAACTGATCAGAGGAGGCACAGACAGGGCTGGTCTGGGAACTCCAGGGGAGAGGGGCCTCTGGAATGGGCTGCGGCCCCCTGCTGGGCCCCTGCACATTTAGGAAACTCGAACCTTGCAGCGCAGTTCTGCAGATGCTCAGAGAGCCCAGAGCTGGGCCAATCCTTCCCTCTTGGCCCCCATACACACACACACACACACACACACACACACACACACACACACACACACCTGCTTTATGACTCTGCAGTCATTTGGCTTCAAACTTCCCCACTGGCTGGAGATAGCACCATCCATTTGAGCTCCTGTCACACAGAAGAGCTGGTCGGGCTATCCCAGCTGCTGCCACCACTGTCTGGTTCCCTTTTCAAATTCCAGGCTGGCCCTCAATCCTGCATAAGTCTGCAACACGAGGGAGGGAGGGCCAGAACTAACTATAAAACCTACAATGGCGCTAACAGTTCCCATCCGCCTGCACTAAAGGGAAGTTTGAAACCACATAATTTATTGACCATTAAGGTCAATCAAATAGTTTATAGATGGAGAAACTGAGGCTAGGGGTGGGAGGGAGAGTGTGATTGGATCAAGGTGGTCCAAAAAACTGGTGGCAGACAAAGCAGAAAATCCAAATCCAGACTTCCTGGCTCCAAGTTCAGTGCCCTCTCCACTTCAGCACTAGATCACCTAACCTGGAAATCCAGGTCCCCACGGAAGGTCACTGAAGCCCATTTGACTGAGTGGACCCATGCATTAAACTGCTTTTCATGAGTTAAGGCCAGAATTCATCCAAACAATAATAACGATGATAATAATAATAAAATGCTGAACAATATGCCTTGTAAACCTTCAATGAGCAACACTTGATAATCATACACAGAATACATCTTCCACATATTCATATAAAATAATCAATGATCATTTTTTTTCCGCAGACTACAATCCAATTACTCTCTCTCCCTCGCTCTCTCCCTCACTCTCCTTTGTTACTTGCAAACCATCCAAGCAATCAATGCCTTGACCTCTCCCTCTGATAGACACAATTACAAAAAGACAGAGCAATGCAATTCATCTATTCAAGACGGATTGTTTGAACACTCTGTCACACGGCTGAGCTATCCATCTCCTTGTCTCAGAGGAAATTTCAGCCCCCAAAAGAGGCACAAAGAGAGGGGGCGGGTGCAGTGCTCCCCAGCCCAGAGAGAGCCCCTCTCGCACCTGCAGGAAAACCCTCTCTCGGTTGGTGCTCGGCGACGCCTGGCTGCAGGAGAGGGATTCAGCTCCAAGCTCAGCCAGCTCGGGCACCAGTCTAGGGAACCAGAAGCACCGGGCACACTCCAGAGCTCAGTTTCCAGGGCCTCAATTACTGTAGCCCTAGCCCAGAGCCCTGGGATCCCAGAGGCGGGAGGGACGGGAGAAGGAGATGGCATCAAGCCCAGGCAAGGCAGTGTGTTTGCGTTTCAGCATAAGATCCCCCCCCACTCTCTCTCTATGTCACATCCACTGTAGTTCCCTGACTCCAGTGGGGGTGAGCAGGGGCTCAGAAGGACAGAAACTCAGCTCCCCGGGAGACTCCAGGCAAGCCCAGAGGCCTCAGAGCCTTCCCACCCTCCATCCAAGCTGGCACAGCTCTGGCGGTCACGTTTGGCACAGGCACAGCACCCCAGTCCATGGGCTGAGAATCAAATGGGGCAGGGCTCTTGGATACAAATGGCCTGGGCCGACACGCTAATTAATCCTAGGACTTAATACGAAGAAGATTAGAAGAGAGGAGGGCTCTGCCATCCCTTAATTGCATTATTACACGCTGAACCCAAGAAAGGGCGAGCAGGCTTGGGATGTGCATTTCCTCAGGCCTGGGAGGAACTCCCTAGCCCAATTCAATTTCATGGTAAGAGGGGGGCAGGTAAGGATGCATCACCCTGAGTCTTTTCAGTTCATCCCTCTGGGGCTGCCCTTGCCTGTTCCTGCCTTTCTGGGCCTCCAAAGACTTCCACCTCTGAGGCTCAGTCGGGAGCACACCTCTCCCATCCTTGTGGAGGAAGGACCGAAGAAGAGGAACCTGCAACACGGGATGGGCACACAGCATCCTCTGAGTCACTCCTTTTTTGTCCCAAGGGCACCCTACCATGCAGGCCCCCAAAAGGCAGAGGGAAGGAGAGAGGGAATAAAGAAAGTGCTGGCCCACAACTAAGGGGCTGCCTGCCCCCTGGAACGGTGCCAAGCTGGGCGCTGGGGCAGCAAAGGAAAGAGACAGAAGACGTTTTCAGCTTGCCAGGAGCAGCCTGGGCTGTGAAGGGTTAAGCCTGACCGTGAGGGCTGTCCCCAGAGTCCCCTCCCGTGCCTGGCCTCCTCTGCCTCCGGCTGTCGGCCTACCAGGGTCCTGGGCATGGACTGGAAGACCTCAGAGTGGGCAGAGCTGAGGACAGTGCTCTGCTCCATCCAGATACGAGTGCGAGAGGGCCTGCCCCTGGGAGAGAGCTGGGGAGGAGACAGGCGCTCTGGGTTTTCTGACCGCCTCCTAGGAGAAACTCAAGTACGGAAGCCAAGCCCGACACCGGCTCCTGGCACCCCGTTCTCGCGGCTGGCAGCCCACGGTCTGCCCTGGAGGAGTAAGTCCGCCCTGGAGAAGGGCCGCCCAGGAGGATGGTGTCCCTGGAGGCGCAGCGTTCTGCTCCCCTTTCACCAGGCGCCTCCGCCAGCGTCTGGCGAACCCAGGCGGCCCAGGTCTCCGGCCTGGCGGCAGGAGCAGGGCCCGCCGTGCTGGAGGCTCCGTGTGGCCCGGCCGGGCCCAGCCCTGCCGGTCGCCGACCTGGGACACGCATGGCCCTCGCAAAGCCCAGCGCGCTGCCCAGCGCGGTGCCTGGGGCGGCCACAACAAAGTTAAAGCCCCGAGTAAGAGTCTCGGGCGAGAGGAGACGCGGAGGAGCCCGAGCCTCAGAGAGCCGCGCGCAGCCCCGCCAGCCGCCGCCAGCTGCGGAGGGA